ATATTTTTAGGCGAAATAATTGCTTCACGCATACGCACACGGGCTTATATTAATACACACGTGATACGCATGCATACACAGCCGAGCGCAAGCATAATAACACGTGTAAACATATGTAGAGTTAATATGCTGGTGTTTTTATTAAATAGTTGATGAAAAGCGTTTTTGTTTTCTTTTTTTTCTGGCAAGGAATCACCTTAGTAAAAAAAATGATTGATTTTCACGTCGAAAGAAATGGACTTAAAAATACCTATCACGTGAAATAAGAATTAAAAAAAATAAAAAAAATATGGACGCAGAGAGATAAGAGAAAGAAAGAAAGGAACACACAAAAAACAATTAACAATATAGGCCTATGTACAAGTTGCTTTTCAATGGGGGTCGCTATGAAGACATGACTTTACGTAATATTAATTTACAATTAGTAATTAAAACCCATATATACTCCTGCATTTAATATTTTCCTTAGTCATGATTAGTAATTAAAACCGTACATACTCCTGCATATCATATTTTCCTTAGCCGAAATATTATGATGGGGAGTCGCGCATGTGTTGGGAGAGAGGGATCGTGTGTGTAAAAAGGTTGACAATCACTGACGTAAGACTAAAATTTGCAATCGTCGGCACAGGAAATAATCTGCAGACACAAACGGTAACACCACATATATAAAAGAAAAGAAAAGAAAAAAATCGCCCTCACAACCAAAGTCTTCTTTCTTCTTTTATAGGGTTTTAGACCAAACTAGAGTCTATTTTCCCTCAACCTAAGTCCACTCATTGCTCCCGAATTTAGGCTCTATCTTGCCTGCCATACAGAGGTGGAGACAGTCGGCCAGTTCGTCAAACTTGTTTAAGGCCCGACCCAATGAATTTTCATAAATACGGACGTAGAAATAAAGGCATGTCTGTCTATATATCTGATAGATATACATTTAACTATTTGCTCCGTTGATATGCATGTCTAGACTGATACATATGCATTTATTTCTTATTTCTAACTAACCTGCAGATAGACATGCATATACACAGAAATAAATGCATATCTGTCTGTCTATCTGATAGATATACAATTATCTATCGATCTGTCCGGTAAAAATGCATGTCTAGACCGATAGATATGCATCTATTTCTGTGTATATGCATGTCTATCTGCAGGTTAGTTAGAAATAAGAAATAAATGCATATGTATCAGTCTAGACATGCATATCAACCGAGCAAATAGTTAAATTCATATCTATCTGATATATAGACAGATATGCCTTTATTTCTACGTCCGTATTTATGAAAATTCATTGGGTCGGGCATGGCACAATTTTAACAAAACCGGCCATATATAATGAATATTCATTGGGACAGGCCATGCACAATTTTGACAAACCGGCCGTATATATTTAATGAATATTCATTGGGACATGCACAATTTTGACAAACCGACCTGTATATAATGAATATTCATTGGGACATGCACAATTTTGACAAACCGACCTGTATATATTCACTGGGGACAGGCCATGCATAAATTTGACAAAAAAATTCGGACCATATATTAGACAGTAATATTCACTAGGACATGCACAATTTTGAATTTTTATCCATCCCTTTTCATTCTTACTTTCCTTTCTCACAAACGTGGTTCTACCGATATAATGTGGTTGCGGTCGCTATTTCTGTGGTGCGCCACGAGGCTTCCCATCATATATACCTCTCACCTCGGATCCCAGGCCCAAACAATACATGCCCTATCGTGGGTGCGGCGGGGGACGTGGGGCGGTGCGGAAGCACCCTCTCCCCCCTCCCTCCTCTCTCTGCACCTTTTCGTCCTTCACTCTTCTCGGCCCCCCCCCTTTCTTTTGTGTCTGTCTGACCCGTCATCCCTACTCTTCCGGTTACCTTTTTAGCTTTACTCTTTCCCTCCTCATATATCACCGCCAATTCTTTAGCTCTCCTACAATCTTTCCTATCCCTCTTTTTTCCCCTAGCTTTTCCAGGGGGTAGTCTGCGTGTTCAATACATTTCTAATCCCTGCTTCTTCCGCCCCCCCCCCGTCTTCACCTATTGCTCCTTTCTCTCGTGATCTCTAATTGCACTGTCCCCTCTCCCTCTCTTCTCTGTTTCTTTCAAGCCCTTTCTTTTCCTTTGGCGGGCGGGCCCGCTGGGCGCGCGATTTCCTCGTGGGGACCCGGGGCTGTGCCGGGTTGCCTCTGATCCCTTCCATAGATTCATATCTCAAAACTCGTCCTCATAATAAACAACACCAACACTACAAAACAATCCCCGGGGCGTGGGGGGCGGGCGCGGGGGGGCGCGGCCCTAACCCAAACCCCCCCTCCCCCCCCCCCTTCACACACAACAAAAACACAAAATAAACAAACAAAAAAGAGGGGCGTGGTCTCCGGGGCTTTCTTTCCGCTTGTCGCTCTCCCTTCTCCCCTTCATTCTTCTCACGTCCATCTCCGCGCATCTCCTTCCTGTCCTTCTGGGCTTTTTTCAATATCTCTCTCCTGTCTCCCTTCTTTCCCTCTCCTCGTTCTCTCACCTTTTTCTCTCCTCCTCTTTTCCTCAATTCCCTCTCTTCTATTCCAACCTTCTTTTTCCTTTCATCCCCTTCTCCTCCCTCTCCGCCCTTTCTTCTACGCTCTACTTTCCTTTCCTCGGTTCCGCCCTCTTCCTCCTTCCATCTCCCTTCCTCTCCGCTCTCACTCCCATTCATCTCCTTCCTACTCCCTTCCTGTACTCGCCCTTCTTCCCGTTTCCCACCTCCTTTCTCTCCCCTCTCCCTTCTCCACCCACTCCCTCTCCCTTCCTTCCTCCCCCTATCCCGCACATCGGATATTTGCTTGTCTTGATGGATCATACATTTGTATAATTTGCTTCTAAACTTACATTACACTGACTTCCTTTCGAACAATCATCTGGGCCAATTCTCGCCGTTTTCTCTATCGGTGGCTATGCTTCCAGAGAGGCGGCCGAGCTGAGCTAAATTTTCCAATTCGAGAGATCGGACCGGGAAGGAGAAAAAATGCGGAAAGACAGTTAACATTCCTCATTGAATGCATTACGGATAGTCGAGCAACTTCCAGCTCCAGATAATTCGGTTGTGCTCTTCGCCTTTTGCTTTTGCTACTTTAGTTCTGTCTGATCTATCTCTTTCATCTCTCCCTTTCCTTACTCTCTCTCTCTCCCTATCTCTTCTCTCTCTCCTCTCTCTCTCCTCTCTCTCGCTCTGACCCAGGACTTTCTACTTAAATGTCTGATTTCTGGCTTAGTTTATTCTTAGGAAAACGGTAATATAGACCAACTTAGATCCAGCTTCCGTTTACTAAATTTAAGTCTGTATCAAAAAGTCACGTTTGTTATCTATATCCTTCGCCTAAAACCGAGCCTAGAATGTGAACGTCTATGGATATGGATAAACTGTGGTGTGTGTGTGTGTGGGTATGACGAGAGAGATAGAGAGAGACCGGAACCACACCAGGAGAGAGAACACACCTGACGCGCATTCATTGGGTATCGCCGTCGAATTTCTATGGATTACTGCAATGATCGCTTCATGATCGAACCGCCCTACAGAGAGCTAGCTTCTAAGCCCTACCACCAAATCCATTCCCTCGAAACAAACGCTTCTCTCCCACACGGCGGAAAGGGTGGGGACCGGAGGTGGAGCGGAATAAGGGGGGGAAGGGGGAAGGGGGGAGAGACACCAGAGTAAAACTAGACGAGGGGAAAAGAGGGAAGTGGACCATCTCACTGGTTGGGAAATATTGCTGGTCAACACGGGAATATTGGGCGTGGGCGAGGGAAAATAAAGGAAAAGGGAGGGGGGGCGGGGGTGGTGGGGGGTCAGGTGAACTTAATCACGTCCAGAAGCATCCACTAAAAAAAAAAAAAAACAAAAGCTCGGAGCCACAAAATTCTATCGATCTAACGTGCCGTACTGATCAATGACTTTCTTCACATGCGAGAGATATACTTAAAACAACTCCAAATACATTACTCACAGGAGAAAATATTGTTACAACACAGCTCTCTAGTCTGACTTGCTGTATACACCTACATGAAGTTTTTTTTCCACACATTATCACCCTCGCACCAAAAAAAAAAAAAAGGTAGTTAAAAAAAATAATGTATAAATAAGATAAAATATTGTAAACAAACCCCTGTGTGAAGTGTGCGAAATCTAACAACATTGAAAGTTTTTTTTTCCACATATTATCACCCTCGCACCAAAATTCTACAATACGATAAAAAAAACATTATTAATTATTACACGACAATCCGGAATTCATAAAAAAAAAGAAAAACAATTGACAAATCGATGCCTCCTCCTCCAGCAGGCTCGTATGAACTCGCGTACGATAACATATGTCGCTGTACGAGAACCGGCTGCCAGATGTACAACGGTCGACCACAGTAAAGAAAGTGTTTGTACGCGGAGGGGGGGGGGTGAAGGGGAGAAGGGGGGAGGGGGGAAAGGGGGGAGGGGGGAAGGGGGAAGGGGGGGTGGGGGGAAGGGGAAGGGGGTGAAGGGGAAGGGGAGGGGTGAAGGGGAAGGGGGGAGGGGGTGACGGGGAGGGGGGGGGTTGCCCTGACCGAACATAAGGTGGTTATCGAAGTTCACAGTACAAGAATATACTTTGTTGTAGAAACGTATGTGCACGATTTCTTTCTTGAAGTTGGTGAAATATTAGAATGTTTTGGCATTTTCAAGTGGAGTTATAAATGATTATCTATGAGTAATAACACCATATAAATATGTAACTCGATTTTTTCCCCTGCGTTTCATTATAACCTCCACTTCATTATGATTAGTTTCCTTATAATATAACACTAATAAATTCATGACAAATCAACTAAAAGGGCGAATACTGAAATCAACAACTCGCCCCTTATTCGCACAACCACTTCCAAACGAGGACAAAACCCTACACAAAATCACAAAATACAAATCATGATCATAGCCAACAACAAATTCTTCCACTAATAACTATTAACCATTACCTGATACAAAAGGCACTCTCTCCCATGACGTTTGCGAATTTTTTCTCTTATATAATCGAACGAGAAAGTGAATAACAAGACACACTTCCTGAGGTAACTAAAAATAGAACTTGCAAAGTCACGACTGACACTACAGTCTGCAAGCGAAGCAGTGAACACGTGATTCGACTCATTACAGTGAAGCAATGAACACGTGATTCGACTCATTACAGTGAAGCAATGAACACGCGGTTCGACTCAATATTGAAGCAATGAAGACGCGATTCGACTCATTACAGTGAAGCAACAAACACTGATGGTGCGAATTATAGAGTGAACATGATGCGGATTTTATGTATTTGGAGAGACAAACAAAAGAAAGAAAGAAAGAGAAAAAATAAGAATATAGGCCTATGTACAAGTTGCTTTTTAATGGGGTCGCTATGAAGACATGACTTTACGCAATATTTAGTTACAATTAGTAAGTAAAACCCGTACATACTCCGCGTATCATATTTTCCTTAGCCTAGATATTATGTTCGGGATTCGGGCATGTGTCGGAAGTCTGAGAGTGGGGTCGTGTGTGTGCGTGTGTGTGTCTATGTGCGTACGTGTGTGTGTGTGTGTGTGTGTGTGTGTGTGTGTGTGTGTGTGTGTGTGTGTGTGTGTGTGTGTGTGTGTGTGTGTGTGTGTGTGTGTGTGTGTGTGTGTGTATGCGCATATGTGTGTCTACGCTTGTGTGAGTATGTACGCGCATATGTCCGTGCTTACGTATATTCAAATTTTATCTATTTTCGCTTCAACACATGCCTATAATTTCCTTTCAACCCAACCCCAATAGTTGTGGACATTAGGGAGATCTTTGTACCAACCAACAGCTGTTCCAACAACACCACCTAAGGCACAGGTAGGAAACCCAGTCATATATGCGCGCGTACTCATATACTTATTTACGTACATACATACACACATAAACAAACAAACAAACATACACGCACCACGTAAAGACACACAGACACACATACGTGTGTGTGTAAAGACACACACACTCTCACACATTCTAGGTACGCGAACGAAAGACAGAAAAAAATGCAATAATAAAAGGAAGAAAAAAGAAAAATCAGCAGTTTTAAAATCACTATGAATAAATAAATAAACAATAAGAATAAAACACTTTGAAATCACAATGAATAGATTACATAATGGGAATGACAAAAAAACAACTTTAAATTCCCATTATATAAATAAATAACAGGAATAACGAAAAAAACCCAAATATCACGATAAAAAAAACAAACGAACAAACACTCAAATAAACAATGAGAATAAATCAAAAAAGAAAAAAACTTTAAAAATCAAAATACGCCAAAAAATGGGCCATTTCTCTAGTTAAGTGAGTTTGCGTGAGAATCGAACCCAGTAGCCTTGTTGCTTTCGAGTTGAGAACACCACAACACGCTGCTTGTTGTTTGGGGTGGATAGGTGGAAGAGGATGGGTGGAGTGGGGGTGGATGAGGATGGGTGGAGGGGAGTGAATTAGGGTGGAGTGGAGGTGGATGAATTGGGGTGGGTGGAGTGGATGAGGATGGGTGGATTGGAGTGGAGTAGGGGTGGGTGGAGTGGAGTGGAGTCGGAGTCGGTGGGGTGGGTAGGTGGAGTGAGGGTGGGTGGATTGGAGTGGATGAGGATGGGTGGAGTTATGTGGGTGGATTGGGGTGGGTGGAGGTGGGTGTGGAAGAGGATTGGTGGGTGTGGAGTGGAGTGGGTGGGGGTGGATGAAGATGGGTGGAGTGGGATGAAGGTAGAGTGGAGTGGGGTGGGGGTGGATTGAGATGGATGAGGGTGGGTGAAGGTGGATGAGGGTGGGTGGGTTAGGGGTGGAAGTAGGTGGGTGAAATGGGTGGGGATGGAGTGGAGGTGGATTGAGGTGGAAGTTGGTGGGTGGAGGCATATGGGGTAGAAAAAGATTGAGCGGGAGGTGGATGGTCGGATGGTGTGGATAGAAATGGATGGACGGAGGTGGATGGAGGTGAGAATGAGGAGTGGATGAGAGAGAAGAAAGTGGAGGACGGAGGAGTGGTGAAGGTGGAAGGGGGAGGGTGAGAGAGGGGGAGGAGAGGAAACGGAAACAGGAAGGGAAGGGAGAGAAAGAAAAAAATAAAACCAACTTTATTTTTCGGAAAGGCGAAACTGGGGAACATTCTTATAATTTACGAAAGATCTCTCTCTCTCTATCTCTTTATTTCCGTCTACTTATCTATTTATACATCTATATGTATGTAGTCTCTCTCTCTCTCTCTTTCTCTCCCTCCCTCCCTACCTACCTCTCTCTCTCTCACTCTGTTTGTCTGTCTGTCTCTCTCTTTCTCTCTCTTTCTCTCCCTCCCTCCCTACCTCTCTCTCTCTCTCACTCTCTGTCTGTCTGTCTCTCCCTCTCTCTCGCTGTCTCTGTCTCTATCTCTCTCTCTCTCTCTCTCTCTAAACACTCAAACGCCACATCATAATCTATCAAAACATTAAC